GTATTTTTGCTAAAGAATTTGTACGAAATGACTGAAAACGTGTTTTTGTTTGTACCTAATTTGATAGGTAAGTAAAATAATTAGAAATTCCGTTTGTTAGAATGCAAATTTACATTGAAACTCATTCTAATTCCCAATGCAATTTGGGATTGCCCGCCATTATCATGGTTAATGATTAATTTACAGATGAAATTCTTAATTTGTTATAATCATCAAGAAGAAACCTGTTTAATGGTTATAAAGTGTAGAGAAAAAATACCAATAAACATTTTTCTGCAAACGTTCTTGCTGTAATTTTCGAATTCTTGCTGGGGTCATCTGCAGACATATTTTACCTCCAATTTATAATAAACTAAATATAAATAGCTTGTAGAAAACACCATGTATATTTATTTTTGCAAAACTTTTGATCCATAAGCCCAGATCTTCAGTGCTAATGATAAGCTTTAAATATACCTAGTGTTTTCAAGCCGAAGAGATACATTGTTTTATGTTATTTTAATCTTTCGAAGAACTTAATAGTGCAGATTAGTTAATAATTGATGGCTGTGGAGTATTCCATTTAATATTACACCCTAATCTCCTTGTGGGCAAAATAAAAAATATTTGGTTTCAGGTTTCTGACCAGGGACGCCGGAACGATAATAGGGCAAAGGGGGGCGGACGCACACCAAGGGCACCTTTACTGAAAAATTTTTTTTCACTGCAAAATTTTTTTTTTCACTGCAAAAAAAATTCGGTCAGTGTACCATTTTAGGGGTCAAAACTTTTTTCCGGACATACAAAAAATTTCCATGAAGCCAAAAATTTTTCCGGATATCTTAAATTTTCGCCATTTCTTCAAAATATTTTTCTAAATTCCAAAAATTTCCCAAAATTTTTATAAATATAAACTATAAATTACCTGAATCTCGTGATTTTCCTACGGAAAGCATCGTTGGAAATGTGATTTATCACGTATTATTTTACAACAAAAAGGGCACTTCTGCCCCCCCTGCCCCCCCTAGCAAAAGGCAAGGGGGGTAGCCGCCCCCCCCTGCCCCCCAGTTCCGGCGTCCCTGTTTCTGACCAACCAGTTGAAAATGTATCTTACCATATAAACATTTTGTTAGCATATAATTGCGAAGATTTCCATTTTCCAAAGTATTCCTAATAATAATGCCACAAGGTCTGCCAAAGTCAAGGCCAATGGAATGAATATAACTGGAATGCTACCTTCAGATAAACTGCTTGAAGTCAAATCTGATCTGTGTGTTTGTGCCTCACAATTCTCTTGTGAGACTAATTCAGGGAGCAAGCATGCTCTTTCAATAAACAATTATTAGAAAAAAAATAAGAAAAATCTAAAAGTACTACTAAGAATTAGTTTTACCTGAGTGAATAAATGCATTAATAGAAAGCTTTGAGCACTGTTATTAAAAAGTTCTTTTTGTGTACATTTTAAGCCGGTTTTCGAGAACACATCAGTCGTTTGACTGCACTCTTCACATCTCTGACGTTAAACAGAGTAATACAATTATGCAGGGCTTGTTGGGGCGAAATGCAACTTAATGGGTTAAGTCTGCTTAATATTGGTTTAAACATTGTACACTCAGATGAGTTATCTAACAGAAAATGTTCTATCTTTTTTATTTGCTTATTTTTGCCTCTTCATTAGGTTATTCCCGGATTATTCTTGCATTTGTTTCGTTCTACTATATGGCTGATAGTCCAGTGATCTTTACAGTGTGTTATCTTCTGAGTGCATTACTGGACGCTTTTGATGGGCATTTTGCTCGCTTATTAAGCCAGAGTAAGTTCTTCTCAACTCACTTATTAAGCCAGAGTGAGATTAAAGTTCTGCCCAACAATGATTATTTCAAATTAATATTTCAGCTTCAAAGTTTGGGGCGATGCTAGACATGCTTACTGACAGGTTAGGTCTTATGGCTGTGTCACACAAGGCAATTTTGCTGCGACTTGCAATGAAATATCTGGGGCCTAAAAACTTGGGTCTATACATTAGGTGTGTGAAAATTCTGCCTGTATAAAATATTTCCTAGGTGTGCTACGACATGTCTAATGGTGATGTTGAGTGAATTCTTTCCTTCCTATCGCATCGTCTTCCAGTTTCTTATTTCCCTGGATATCAGCAGTCATTGGCTACACATGTATAGGTATGTATTCCAATTAACAGTTTGAAGGGCTTTCTCAGATAGAAATTTCCGAAAATTCAACTGTTAGTTTTATGAGGGCCCCCTATACCTCTTCACAATATGCTTTCACGTAAAAATATTTTGCCTTTTCACGAGTCACGGATTAAGAAAATCATCGATCACGTTTCATGGCTAAGTAAAATAAGCGCTTCACGCAAAACGTATAGGGGGCCCGATCATGTTTCACGGCGAAGTAAAATAAGCCCTTCACGCTTCACGCAAAAAGTATAGGGGGCCCTCTTTTATCCAGCAAGATGCCCAAGACCTTGACATGTAGCATGTATTGAAAAAAGGGGGCAACCTCGTAACATATATACAGATCAGTGTCCAAGCTGAGTGGGCGTGTGGGGATGCCTGGGAAGGACGTGACAAAGGAAACACACAATTTTGTTATGTCATCCCAAACTAGAAGAGAGGGCATGCCCTCACTCTCCCGCCCGCACTAAACGCCTGCTATGCAGGCTAATCCCCAAACATGCTGTGCGCACATGCTCAGAGAACATCATTTACATTGAGGCCTTGGGTTACAAGCTTGGTGTCATGCAATTAGTCCCTCAGTAAAATTGAATAAGATGACATTAATTAAGAACTGCACTTTCTCTTTTTAGCTCACTGATAAAAGGTGACCAGAGCCATAAGATTTCTACAAATTTCTTCCTCAGACTGTACTACACCTCCAGGGTAAGTTCATTGATATACAGACACCCGTTTCCAGATGGCGCACTTTTTATGACAGAAGAGTGATGGATATATGAATCAATTAAGAACGGCAGAATTTGGAGCGGCAAAAGTTCAACACAAGTTCGGCAGAGCCTGTCACATTATGTGACCTTGATTCATACGCCGCTCCATATCCATGTGCCAAACCAAACTCAATTTGTGATTTAATAGATTATTATTATCTATATATATATATATATATATGATTTAATATTGTGTGTCAATAATTTGTCATTTTTGGTTTTAGCCTGTCCTGTTCATAATGTGTTCTGGAAATGAACTGTTCTTTGTGGCATTATACTTTATTCATTTTTCATATGGACCAACCGGTATGTTAAGTTTTTTATGGTATGGAAAGTTTTGTAAAATTGGTATACATATGGTATATATATGGTATGGTATGGTATGGTATGCTACTAAATATGGCAAAATGCATGTTTGCAAATTTTAATTAAACAAATTATATTTAACTAAACCTACAAGGAACTCAATATTTTGCATATATTTTCAGTTTTCACAGTAAACAACACGCCAGTTGGTTTATGGTCATTACTTGCTTACATCAATTTCCCGATATTTTTCGTCAAACAATTGATCAGTATGTTGCACTTGGTGACAGCTTCGCAAGACGTTGTTGCTTATGATGTAGCCGAACGAAGGAAATCTAACAGTTGACTAACCGACCAAAATGACGAGGTAACCTATAAGAAGTGTCTTTTAAATGCACACAAATAATTTATGAACTACAGTGTCACTAACCCCCGACTATATAAATTTTAGTAGTGGTGGACATAGGGGGTGGGGGTTATTCCCTGGTTAATAGACCTTATGCATAATGACGTCACAAGGCTTGATGCCCGCGAAGAATGCTGGTCGTGGTAGTCATCGCCCGGGAAATGAGACAAACTAAATTTTGCCAAAGTCCTTCAAAGGAAAATAATCTCATTCTGAAATAAAATAATCAGGGCTGTAACTAAACGCGATAATTGGGGGGGGGGGG